GTAATTATCTCTCTTCATTATTCTTTTGTTCTTTTCATTTTACTTATCGCTTCTTCCTTTTTACCACTACAACTAGCCTCTGACAAAATTAAATTCTGAAAAACGAGATGTAAACTATTAAACAATTATCATTTTTCCCCCTGAACTTGTCCTGTGCAAATATAATGTGTCAGATTTAACTTCAACGTACACACATGTACACGGAAATCCCAAAAAATGATGCGTAGTGGTATAGCTCGAGTACTCTTATTACTTTACGTACAATACTTTTACGTTATAATCAGGAGAAACTCAAATAATTTTGCTAAACAATTAACAAAAACCTTGAAAAACAGAGTTTACTATTCTGCAAATCGCAATCATTCTTGGCAATACCGTGTATACAGCGTCTACGTGTAAATGTAGACACGTAACAATATGCGTATAGACGCGAATCGCATATAAGTATGAAGAATAAAAGTTTAGTTTTGTGCTGATATACAACAGTGTTAAATGTTAATTTGCTTAACTTGGCTTATATGTATCTAGGTATATTATGGATTATGCGTACGTAATACGTACTATTTATGTACAGTGCTTTATCTTTAGGTGCACCCTAAATTATCATTTTCAGATTTTAATTATAATTGGCGCGTTTAACATTTAACATAATTCCAAAGAAGTTATTTTAAATAAACTATTTCGACCAAGCAATTTAAAAAGATGCACGAGAGGGATGTGATTGCTTTCAAATAACTGCAAATTAATAAATTCATTCTAACAGGTTATAATAATAATAAGTTATAATAATAATAAGTAGAAATTTGAAAATTTTTATAAAGTACTAGCTTAATTAATTAAAAAACATAAAAACAGAGTAGTCGCGGTTATCATGATATAAAAAAATTATTAAAAAAAAATTGAATCGAGGATCAATAATTATTTATGTATATCATGTTTAGCAGCATAATTTTCCATTGTTATTAAAAACGTCCGTCACCTTTTGCAAAATACGTATTCTTCAAATCAATTCTGTTCATCTACACTATGTTCGCGCAAACCATGTATTATACATATCGATGAGAAAAGATAAGTATCATTCTCAAAGAGAATGATACGCCTTACAATTAGATTTAAGCTTAGAATGGAATTAATGAGAAGTGAGCGATATTATTAGTCCCATTAGTAATTGGCAATAGAAAAATTTGCACAAGTTAATATGTGTAAAGTAGAATAGTTAGTTTTTGTGATGAAGAGCATACAGTATAGATAGTAAAATTTTGCTTGTAATGATTCTTTTTTTTTATATGTATATATAATATACGTACACGTGTGAACGCGCGTATACAAATATTAAATTTACGAGTTTTATTATGTATAATATGAAGAGGTACAAAAGTTATAGATATAGAGAATAGGCGTTGAGGTCCAAAAGGCTGTCTAATTCGTGCAAGTCATTTAACGATCGTGTCTTTATCTTCTGTTCTTTTTTTTTTCAATAATGGTTGAATAACAAGTTCGATTGACAATGTCGCAACCGTGAATTGGTCGGAGATTTTACATCGATATTCCCGATTGCACTCTATAAAATAAATTTGGAAATATGAGAAAATATGTGACATATTAAAAAGAACTCATAAGAAATTCGTTCTGTAAAACTGAATTTTTTCACATTTTAAAGAAAATTAATCATAATTTTGGAAATAAATTTTATGTATATTTGTTTTAGATCGTAAGAATGTTCTATTAAGAATCTATATAATCAAAAATCTAAAATAGAATTAGAAATAATTAACTTTGAGAAATTTTTAGTTTTTATTAAAAAATTAAATTATGTAATTTTAAAGAGTAAAAGAAAAATTATATACTTTCTCAAGAGAAAATTTCAAAATTAAATTAAATCTAAAGATCAAAAACTCAACTCAGAATTACAGAATAATTCCTATCGATTTCCTATCCTATATTTCCTTTTAATTTATTTAAGATTTACAAAGACGTTACCTGATTTTCATTTTTGGTTATTGTTGAATTTTGGGATAAAATCCATATATTTCTGTTCTGCTGTTCTAATAAAATAAAATTTAACAAAATTACCGGAGTATAAATCGCGAAGGAACAGGCACGCATGTCGCTATGTATGGGTCACTAACATACAACAGCGACTTTTAAGGGGATAATCACATGGAAAAGTGTAGCATTTTTTTTTACCCGCTAATGTATGATATTCTTAAAGCTAGTCTACATTAAACTCTAATGATAGTCAAAAATTGTGACCCTTAGTTTATAAAAGGCGATGCATTGTCCAAAGAATCAACATGTAACATTTATTAGGAAGTTATGGCGATTATATGAGATTGTATAATTTTTTTTATGATTGCAACGAAATCATCATGTTTATACTGTAAGATTTGTTAATCTCAAAATAATTCCAACATCATCGAATATCGCAATCGGATTTGATTTTTCATTATATCAATCTCCTCATCATTGAACATGAAATGAATTATAATCGAATAAGTATATCAATTAGTATTAGCATGAAAAAATACATTTTACATTTTCATTCGTGGCGATAACTGTACGTCAACTTCGAGTATTTTATAGATAATAATTATTCAATTATGTAATTATGTATAACAGAGTTGGGAAATAACGCGTTACTTGTAATGCCGTTATCGTTACTTTTTTTTGGTAATGAACTGTGGCATTACTTTCTTTTTAGTAACTACCCAACAAGAAATGACGATGGAATTGACGTCGAATTAATGATTTCGACGTCGAATCGATGTCGATTTAACGTCAATTCATTTCTCGTTGAGTATAATGGTAACGTAGTTACATTTTTTCAGTACGAATTTAACAATTACCTTTATCGTTACTTTTTATATTTTGAATTTATTTATGACATAATTTTTATATATTTAATGTTCAGTCTTCGATATCCATAATCTGTTATTATAGATTTGTTTAAGACCGTCCTAAGAATAGTTTATCATAAATCAATCACAAGATTTTAATTATAAATACCGCCTTTTAAAAATTTGTAAACAAAAAATTGAGTGTAAGAAAGTGTAAATTATGTTATTATGTTTATGCATGTTATTATGTTTATGAATTTAATAAAAACAATCTTTTGTATTTGCATTTTGAATATTTTAAAATCTTTTTAAATTTTTTGTCTTACGAATTTAATCTTTTCACAGTGTATGTAGCATATATACATAGAAAAAGATCCCAGTATGTATGCACATCTTAAAAAAGCAATTTATCCTTTTGCAATTTGTATGAAACTTGTAGAAAACTTAGTCCTACTTGAGTCTATAGTTTTCAAAGTCGCTGAATTCAAATGTGATATCTAAATTTCAAAATTCAATATAAAATAAAAGCAGATAAAAGTTTAAAAAAATAGTTGTTATAAAAATGAGTACTCTAAAATTGTTGAAGTCGCTGAATCAAAATAAATTTTTCATGAATTTTATTATTCTAAATGACAGATCAAACTTTGCTGAAAAGAATCACTCTTGAAAATAATAATTCATTTAAACTTTATCAACAATATTATTTCAAGATAGAAAAATTGTTTATAAATTCCGTTCTTTGTCAAACTCAGAGTCATGAAACGAGAACGTGGTGAGTTTTCACTACATGTTCTTATTATTTTTATTTTAAAAATTTGTTTATCTTTTCAACAGTCCGCAATTTTAGATTCTCCATTTGAATTTTGAAATTCTGATATCATATTTGGATTTAGCAACCTCAAAAATCTTAATATTAAAATCATAAAATATAATCGTCGAAATCTAAACTTTTTTTTTCACACAGTGATGGTACGAAAATCTCATTTTCGTCACATTGCGAAGGGGTTAAAATAAAAAGTTTTATTATTTTTATATTGATAATTTAACAAAAAAATATGAGAAAAATTTATTTTTTATTTAATTTGATCTCGTTTTAATTAAAACAAGTAACGAAAAAAATAACTAATCATACCTTTTTAAGTAACGATAACGATAAGTTACTACTAATAACTAGTAGTGGTAACGAGTTACTTTTAAAAAGTAACTTTTCCAACCCTGATGTATGGTTTATCCATTAATAGCGGGAAAAGCGATAAATGATATTGAAATCAAATCAAATTTATGAATCATCCCTAAGAAATGAATAAAGAATATTTTCATAATAAATAGCATAAATGATAAATAAAAGTTCAATGTTTTGTTAAACATGATCGATTTTCATATCAACTATTATTAAGCATTTGTAATAATTTTTAATTTCTAAGAGAAAAATTTACTGTTGAAGTATTCGTAAAAAGGATCTAAATCGAATTCATGGCTTTAAAAAAGTTAATTGCTTAAAAAGAGATATGTAACAGAACACATAAATTTTATATCGCATTTCAGTCGATTGCGTTGAATCCCTTTAAATAGATCTTAGTTCTCTATTTAAAAGGAACTTTTAATTGTTATTATTGATTGCAATTTGTTAGTTTCTTAAGTAATTTAAAAATTGCCGATGAATCATTCTAATTGTCACATCACGATTTACTTAAACGATGGCGCGGATTATTTTGGAGCCCAAACTTGCTTAACGATGCGTTCAGTATTAATCGCCTAAATAATCGTGATAATTACTTTTGGATCATGTGATTCTGTAGTGTGTATACAATTTTGCTCATAAATTCCGTCATCAACAATATCGCACATATTGCCATACAGTGGTCTGAATGACCGTTAACAGTCGATAGATGAGACGCGCTTGTAATGCACATCTCTGCGAGATTTTATCTTATTTTACATAGATTATACATATGCATACCCTCTTCTCGACGCTAAATACATCAGAGAATGAGTATGTGACATAGAATTTTATACGACATGATATTTCAAAAGTACTTTAAGACTCTTTCATTGTTCACTGAACGGAACTGAACGGTTCAGTTTCTACTTCCTGAGAGGATGCCACATAGCGACCGGACGCCGTAAGGCCGTTAACATTTGTCTCCAATGAGCCAGTGCTTTTCCCGTCGAGGTAGATCCTACAATAATGTGTCCTACAGAGTACGCTTTTGGATTTGTACCTTGATCTCCATTTAATTCCGCCACTGTTAATCTCAGCTGTATAGTCTGAAAAAAAGATACGTTTAATATGGTCATAGTCATAAAAATTATATTTTTATTATTAGATTTTTGTCATTAGGAAAAATAAAAATTTATTAAAACCTGTAAAGCTTGCGCTGGCACACTGAATATTATCGCCTCGTTGAAGATTGGACTTTTCTCGCCTTTCTTCACGGATGTCTTCTTTTTATGCAGCTTTTTTCCTTGTTGAAGCAGGTATACCTTAGCGAAAAAAAAAAAATGTTAAATAATTTTTGAAAAATCATTATTTAGTGGAAGTAAAAATGCGATGCCTGTATTACCTTGACGAAGAAATCGCCCGGAGATGAATTCGCGCCGCGCAAATTGCGTGCTTTAACTACTACGAGAGTGAGTCTCTCCGCTGTTGGCAAGTAACTGAGAGAAAACATCAATTCTCCTAGGTGCGGAGTGGGCAAGGCAGGCCCACTGAGTGGTAGCCAAGTCGTAGCTGGCGGTCTCGCCGCAGGCCCGAGCTTTAAACTGGCTTCGCCGATCAAAGATGCGCCCCCACCGATGTTAGATTCATCAGAAAATACCTGAGTAATGAGAAATGAAATTTATTTTAATTCACTTCTCGCAAATTATCTATTTAATTAATATTTAATGGAAAAGTAGGAAAAGTTCATTTATTTGCGATTATTTACGACATTTGAATATATTATACATATGCGACATATGAATATGAAACAGAGACTGTGAAAAAAGAAATCAAAAGCACCTCAACAAGAAGCGTTTTGCCTGCTGGTCCACCGTCAAGAGGAAATAAAAATTTCTCCTGATAACTAGGCGATGGACATCCCCTATAAATTCTCGTTTGCACGTGAGTCTGTCTGTCGGGTAATAGACACACCCTATGAAGGAAAAATAACATAACTGAGTACATCTGCTTATTTAATTATTAATTGATTCTAAATTTATTTTTTCATTAACAATCAAAGAATTACAAATTCGTTATTAATTTCAATCAAAAAATATTATAACATGGCAGTAATAAGAGACATCCTACGTAATATATGCTACGGTATGTATATAAAACACTCACAAGATATATTTATCCTTAATGGTGTTTTATTTTTATTAAAAGTATGATGCTATACGGTATTTATAAACAAAGGAGGTGTTTACCTAACGAAAGTATCTTGTGCAGGAGAGCCGTCGGCAGAGACAAGATCTCTGGCTTCTAAAACGCTTACGGCTAGATCGCCTTCACAATCGCTTCCGCGACCACCCCATCTCTCGTGTTCGAGTCCGACACAAATGTGACCTACGATAGGTGCTTCTTCCAGATCGTTTAGATTGACGCTAGTATCGGAACAAACGCTCTCGCAACTGATCGCTCTCTTTAACGTAGATTCATCGGGCGGTGGTTCTGGCTCAGGACCTAGTGAACTTCGACGATTTCCCAATCTAGTATTATTATGATCGTTCATCGCGTAACTCAGATACGATTCTTCCAAGCTCTGACAATCATAAGGAATATATTATTGCCGTGTAATAATTTGTAATTTGTATTTAAAAAAAAAGTGCATTGTAACCTGTGAAAGTCGTCTCTTCAATTGCACCTCCTCCAAAGCGGCATAGAGCTCCTGGCTGTTTCTTCGTCTGTAAAAAAATTAATCTTGCTAATACACAATATACATTTTTCGATTTTACAACGATTGAGAGAGATAAATTAATAAAGAAAATAACTTGGAGAACATTGTAATTTTTTTATGGTAACGTGTATCATACCTCAAGGGGTCGGCAGCGTCAAGTTCTACATATTCATGAATGCCGTTTAGTCTTTCTATACTTTTACGTCTTTGCTCGAGGCTGTTGAAAATATCCTAGAAAAGAATTTTAATTAAGGTTTCAAGATATATTAAACTATTAAATACTTCTTATAATAAGTATACATTTTTTTCTAATTGCAAAGAGATTAATAAATGTTGTACCTCTGATGTTCGGGTAAAACTGGGATCTGATAAATAAGTATAAGTTTCATGATTGTGATCTTTAACCAATAAGGGAGACGATGGTGGATCTTGTAGACTATTGTACACCTATAGGCAAACAAAAGCAAAATTAAAAATCAGAATCAGAGGAAAACAGATTGTTATTAATGCTATATAAAATTAAAAGCATTAAAAATAATTAATACTTCTTGCGCTGTTCTGTGAGCTTCAAGGTTTAATTCAGGGCTGTAAAGGTCAGAACTTCGTCTTGATCCGTCGAGGCCAGTTAGATCTGGGTCGGTTTCCGCATAAATATCTCGCATGTCTTGCAGATATTCGGCGTCTTGTAAATGATCTTCAGTGTTGTCAAACGATGGTGATGTTGATTGAAACGCAAATCGTTGTACTTGTTGTGCTGAAGAGAGTAACGAACTACAAAGAAATTTGTAATTTGTTATAATTTAATGTAAAAAAAAGCAAGAATATTTTAAAAATTAATCTCAACTATATTTTAAAAATTAATAGAACAATCAAATCAATCATAATTCAATTGGATATTTATAGATATTTGATTAATAAAATTTTACGTGTTACTTCTAACTTTTAAAATTCAAATTATTTCTAATATTTGAAAAATGTAAAAATGTGTACTAATAGTGTTTATAATATAATATTAAAAAATACGAGTTTATATTGCATTGTTGATTAATTTATATATACAATATTAAAAATACTACTATTCTTATTAATTTTTAATAATGACTTACTTGTAGAATTCCGAAGCGTCTATATAACTTTGCGAAGTAACTGATCTGAGCGCACTGAAGATTCTCTCACCGGTTGTTGGGCTGCTTTTCTTCGTGATCTCCTGAGAGGGATCCGGGGGTGCGGGTGGTGGTGGTGGTATCGGACTCGAGACAGATTCGCTCGCCATCTTTGTCTCGTCTACGATTGATCCTTGAATTGCGCTTGTGAACAGTATTGGTTCACGATTTGGGCGTGTTTGAAGTTCATTCATGGATTCGTAGACAGGAAGATCGGGTAAACTCTGAATATATTGCGAGACTCGCTGAAGATCATGCGACTTGGAAAGGCTGCTGTGAAATATGTAGGGATCAATATTTTCTTGATGGCCGGAGGTATTTTTGAATGGAGTCATCTCGATGTTCTGTATATCGCTATTTTTTCGGTTAAGATCGCCATTCAGTTCCTCGCTGCTCTGAAGCATTTTGGAAACGGTCTGTGGCCCATATGTCGATTCCATCATCATCTGATTGGTCGCGTTCAATGAATTTGTCGAGTTGAAGTTATCCGGGAACTCTCTAGGCTCGTTTCTTGCATACGGTCTCGAGACGTGATTCTTCTGAACGATCTCATAGTTGCCGTAACTTCTATTAACATTCTCATCATTTAATTTGTCCTCTAGGGGTGGATTTATACCGTATCTAAGCCATGCTGAAGGCTCTTTGGAAGGTGGCTCGAATTGCCTGTAAAATCGGTGTAAAAGATCGAATAAAAGCAACTTTATTCATTTCGGCACTTGCGATCGAACGAAATAAATTAGTAAATTATGTAAAAGTAAAATTAGTAAGTTATGTAAAAAATATCTCGTTAGTCCATTAAAAAACTTTTATGTTGTACCTGATCGATCTGGAATCTATGTGGTTTTGATTAGCGTAAGGTGTCATTTGGATATTCTCCGCTATCGTTTTCGCGGGGCCATTGTCGAACACGAAGGTGGGACGCTCGATCGACTGGAAAGGACCGTGATTCTTCGGTGGTTCGCTCTGAAAGAGAAACACGGACGGACCGGGGGCTCTCGATCGTATCGATCCTCTTTGCAACGACGGCGGTGGCGTCAACGGACCAGGACCGGCTTCGTGCATCCTGAGATAATCGACAGTACTTGGCGTCTGGAGCGGCGATGGCCTAGGACGAGCGGTCGGTCGTGGTTGAGGAGCGGGCCGCAATGGTTGAGGTGGTATCGTGCTGCCGCCGAGAGGCGGATGTAAGTCCCTGTCGACAGCCTCAAATCTGTGTATAATAGTATGAGTGTGTAATGCATATTTTTTATACATATAAAATATACCTAAAGTTGGTGTGAACTTAATTTAAATCAATACTGTTTCATCGCAAAAGATATAACTGCCAAACAGAGATCGTTAAATGCCCGATTCCATCAACGTAGATTAACTTTAACCTCGGTTCAACTTACTTTTCATCCTCTTCTAGTTCTAAGAATTAGAAAAAGATGAAGAGCAAGTTAAATCGAGATTAAAGTAAATCTACGTTGGTAGGCTCGGAAATAAGACGTTCTTTGTTTTTTTTTGTGGAAAAAATATTACTATTAATTAATTGTAGTGTTGTGTCAAATTTAATCAATTGTATTTATACGTAGAAAATATTTTAATTATATTTGACTGATTAATTAAGACAAATATTATAAAATTGTAATTGTTCAAATAATCGCGTACCTGGTAAAGGCGCCTTGCGCATCTAGCCGGAGGTCGCTATCGCTATGCAAGAGATGTTGAGAGACATTCCCAGTCTGGCGATATAGGCCTGGTATTGTCTGAGCGGTTGGATGCTGAGCCTTTACCAATCCCACCTTCAAATAATTCCATAGATATAATTTAAGATAATGTAACAATAAAGCAATATATAAGAAAATCTTTAAGATTCTGAATAAATTTAAATGTTTCACGTTCTCATTTTAAAATATTGACATATACGAAGAGCAATTGTGCAATAACAATACAATCATAATATATTATAAAATTTTAAAGTTCCTAGACATAAATTAAATCTATGAATTTATTAATCTCATGTCAAGATAAATTAAAAATATGTCATAACAGTAAAAATTTTTTCTAAAAATAACAAATTTGCTTGCAAAAAAATAAATCTTTAAAATGATAAAATTTAAATATAATTTATATTTTTAAAATACATTACTTTTTCTTCCCGCGGTGCCCAAAGCCAGGAAAGCCTCTGTCTCCATTCCTCGCAAACGCTCCAGACATTTCTGGTGCCAAATTGCCATCCAATGCAATATCTATGGGATTGACGCAAATGTAGAAACTAAGCATTAATTATGTTTATGCCATGAATCACGAGATAATATGGATCTATTCGAGATTATAACTTGAAAGTTTCAAATATAGTATTAGAAGAAATGATAAAATAAAATAGTTTAAACTGTCAAAAAAGCTAATGAATTTAATTCATCATTTGGTTCGATTGTAAGATTTTAAATAGCTATTGTCGTGCTTTAAGTGAAATTATTGAAACAATTTGTCTTATATTGTTCTTCAAAATAAACGAGCATATTTATCATAATATTTAACATTATTTAAACTTACAGCCTTTATTTCATTGTACATAATAGCAAATCCTGAGCAAAACATATAGATTTGATTTATTATTATAAGGAAAAATAAATCAAGCTTATGCGTGAACAGTATAGCAATAATAGCAAATAAATACAATGGTTATTGGTAACACTTATTGATAACACTTTCACCTGTTGCATACACGCATTACATTTATTATTTTCTCTAAAGATATTGTCTCCCCATCACAATTATGAAAAAAAAAAATTATTTGAGAAAATTGAAAATTAAAAGCTATATTTATAGTTGCTCCTTATAAATAAATATTTATTAATTATATATTTAATGTACTATAAATATATATAAAGAATATTTGCTATATATGTATGGATTTAAATTTTAAACAAAAATTTTTATTTCAATCTTTCAATTTTTGTTGTTTCAAAAATTTTTATTTTACGTTAAATTGCTGTATCATATTATCGAATTTATTTCATTTTATTTAAATGGTTATTGTTACCTTCTGCAAAGGACAAGTGTGGCACCAGCAGCGATAGCGATGACTAAAGCCACTCCAAGTCCAGTAAGAGCCCAACCCATTGTTTTGAATACTAAACATAAAAAATCTTGTGACATTATATCCGAGACACATGTAATGAATTTAAAGTCTAAAAATATATAATAAAGTCTAGAATATATTTTTAATTTAGCGAGAGATTGTTTTTTGTATATATCAAAAATATAAAAAATTAATAACAATAATGATAATTACAGCCGATATATGTTTCAAACAAATAGACAATAGATGGCTTAGCCATCTATTGCCTGTAATTATCATTATTGTTATTCTTCATGCGGCACTTGGCGTTCTTTCAAAATTATTTATTCGGTTATTACGATAAATATTAAACCATATGCCTCAGTAGTCGAATGGATAAGATACTCGCGCATTAAACGAGCGATCCAGGTTCGATTCTTGGATGGGGTAATATTTTTCGTAATAAAATAATTTTCAATTTTCATAATCGGGGATTAATCGATTTCGATAAATTTGATTATCGATTTAATAGGGAAGGGGTGAATTTAGATTTAGTTTTAAATAGGCTACGTTGCAAGATCGTTAAATTAACGACATGCAGTGTCGCGATAAGCATTGTCTTGAAATTCAGAAAAGTAAAAATTATTCGACACGAAGACTCAGTCTGTCGATGGAAGCCATTTATTATCTATTTATATAAAAATTAATTTAAAATTTATATTAAACGTTATATTAATTCTTATAAATATTATGTATTATTAAATTATACATAAAAATGTTATCGTTATCGTTTTGATTTACAGTACAAAAATATGTACGCTCGTAAAAATAAAGATTCGGCAATGATTCAAAAAAGTGCCAGTCAAGATCTGAACTACTACTAGTTATTTGTGTCACTGTGTCAAGGTAACCGAGATTGTTGAAATCTCTTGAGTTTGGTATTGTGCTGCAAATACTTAGTCAATTCATATACACAAAATTCTTATTTTAATATTATTATTTTTATAAATAGGTTATATATATTAGACATGGAGTATAAATAAAAGATAAAAAAATCAAAATTATACCTGAATAATAATAAATAATTCAGATTGTCTAAATAAATATTTCCAATTCAATATATTGATTAAGAGTCATTTAAAATCATTTTACCAAGATTTCCTATAGAGTACATTGTATACACCAGTTCGCTTATTATTATCCAACAGTTCACGAAGTTACAGAATCAAACTTAGCAAGTTATCATGAATAATTTATATCTATAAATCAATATAAATTTGTTACGAGTTTTTTGTCTTGAAAGTTTTTATGATGCATATTAACTGGATTAATGATCTTTGTAATTTATTAATTTTTATTGTACGTTAAATGTTTTGTCATCAATTATTAAGTAATCACATAAATACATTTTTAATTAATTATTTTGCACAGAATAATAAATCCTATACAATAAACTAAAACAACGAATTGATTAATGTTTCATAAAATCTAATTCTAATGTAAGCCGTAATGTACAGCCATTAACATACCAGTACTATACTTTAACGTTTGCTTTTAAGTAAAATCCGATAGCTTTGAACTTTCTGTTGTCTATTAGTCTCTATATTTATGAGGTATTGTGAATATAGTCATACACAGTACTGCAAAGCACAATGTGCTATATACTCAACTTTTAATTTATATCTATTCAAGAAATTTGTATAATGTATGTGACGATACTTGTGTAATTTTCGAAGCAATTGCGCAATGAGAGATCTAATGTGAGATTTATATTTATCTATATATAGAAATCTGTACGTTTCTAATGTTAACATCAAAATCTATAGTATTGGACGGAATTTCTAGAAAATCTGGATTTATCTGGAATATTTAATCAATTAGATTAAAAGTTAAATACACATTTCTTAAACTATTTTCTTATTTTATTATGCAATATTTTTTATTTCTGGCATAGTGTAAATAATTTTATTTGATTAACAACCAAAGCTGATCTAAATTTTTTATAACATCAAGAAATGGTGTATTGAAAGGGAAAAAGACAGAGGAAAAGAAGCAATGAAAGTAAAATATCTCTATCATAAAGTACCTCCGCCTGCGTAGTATACATCAGGAAGTGCCTGAGGAAACTAGGGATATACATAGATTAAATATTTGCCGAGTATTTTACTAGTATGCTCACTTCTCAAATAAAACATCCTACTTTATAATGATTTTTTTTATCAATTCTATCGGAATTGAATTATTGCCTTTTAATTCTGTCTGTATGAGAAGACTTTGAGAGAAATTATTACTAGCATTACTGTGTCTCTTATTTTAATGGAGAAATTATTCATTATTAACATAATTACTAATTTCATTTCCAAGAGTTATCATTTCATATTTTCGAGAAATATTGTTTCAAGCGTTATTTTCAGAAATCATAAATTATTATATAAATTATTACATTTCTTCTCATCTTAATTTTAATATCGGATTCTCTGATGAACTTGATGTGAAATCTTGTTTCAACAAAAATCTCGATAAATCAATAGTTCCGCAGTTGTAAGCGATTGAAGATGAAGCATTTTCAGCGAATTTCAACGAAGTCTCAAGCAGCAAGCAGATAGCACACAAAATCATATTCTTTAGTTAATTTTGAAGAAAATTTTATTTTAAAATTAAATTCCCTTAAGAGAATTTTAATTTAAAGTTTAGTTGCAAGATATAAAAATTGAAGATTGAGAAAATTGGAGTAAATAATGATCTTTTTCTTGACATTTTCATTAAAAGAAGGTTGATTTTAAGTTTGAAAATTTATATTAGAAAATTTGTAAAAAAAATTAAGATCGCAAATTATGGAAAAGCTTGCATAATTATTTATATTAACGTATTTTTTTAATACTTTATTTTGTAAATAATTAAATCGATATGTATATAATATTTATCTTAGAGTAACCTTAACCTTAAAAATTCTAAATATTGTAAACGTTATCTTGTCTTGTTTGTTATCAATTTTAAATATTTTTGATTACATTCGATGACAGTTGCCTATTAATTATTCTTCAAAATGCATTATTTCAAAGAAAGTTCTAACAAGGTATGATCTTGCGGGTTACTAGGTCAACCGTTAGGCAAGTTTAATATGCTTTAGGATCGCACAGAATTTCAAGATCGTCGTATTCTCGACCTACCTCCCCCCCCCCCCTCGCAAGAGTTTTCCTCCTTCCGCCATTATCCGAGGATAAGAATCACCTCAAAGTAGGAAGGAAATTGTTCGAGAGAAGGAGGATAGCTGCCAGAATACAAGAAAGAAGAAGAAAGCTTATGAGAAAGAAGGAATATACAATGGGACGCGTCAAGAGTTTTTTTTTTCATGTTGCTTGGGATCCGCCTTTTATACGCAAACTATAGGCGAATGTCGGAGAAGCGTGAAGTCTCTGAAGAGCTTTTCTCCCCCCAATAATTTCCGAGGCTAACCTCGGAAAAGAATTTCCTTGATGTCCCTGGAGAAAGAAACTGACATTTCGATATATTACTACCATATGGTTTCCATTAAATATTTAATAAAGAAAAAGATATCACGCAATATAGATTTTACGTATTTGTGTATTTTATACATTATAAAATTATTAATTAAATCAAGTGATTTATCATTAATTTAAAAAAAAAAATAAATATTTTGCAATTGACATTCAGATGTAGAATCAATTACATTCTCTTGATAATATATATAATTTCAATAAAATAGGATTATCATGCATTATCGTGCGATTGTAATATCGTATATCTTGTCAAAACTCATCATAAAATAATTCTTTCATTGAATTTTACATTAACGTCAAATGGATCAGAGTGATGCACTTTTGTTGAGAACGTATATAAAGTACATTCATATATTGTTATATGCCATGACATTAACAGTAAAAATGTTAATACAAATTGAAATAAGTGATTGCTATAAGTCAGTCGTTACAGAACAAAATGTAAAACAACCTCTTTGAATGTGAATCAAAAGAAAATATCTAATTAGTCGGGACAAACATTACAGACATCAAAGACATTTATATTTGATTTGCGTAATATTTTCTGAATAAAACAGAAATAATTAAAATTATAAATTGTGTTGTAAGGATCTTATTTTCATTTTTATAGAGTTTACTCTTTTACGTGACACATGCGCGTCAATGCACGCCGCAACGATCGAGTCAATTAATTTCTGTGTTTCGCCATTTCCTCATTCCCGTGCTTCCGGTGATGGACCGGAACAATTTGTAAATATTCACGATTCCCTCTTTCTATGCGTTTTCTCTGATTACCTCGAATCTAGACGTCAAACGAAGCGGAAATCAATGGCTGAGACAAACCCCTATTCGATTTTCGAGATGGTCGCGATTCATCGGAGTCTAATAAACTGTGCGACATCCACGCGCACGTGCAAGGCTATCTATATGTCTCTTCAAAGAGTAGTGGTGAATGAATATGGTCGCAGCTAGCGAGACAACGTAATCAGATTTACGAGAGAGCGATGGGTTCCATCAGCGCTTACAGCATCTCCATCTTCGTCTCTCGCGTTCTCTGTACGTCTGAATTTCTATTTCGTTTTGGACACTATCCATTTTTCAGTTTATTTTCATGGCAAAGTAACCGTACGGTGAAGAGCTACATTAAAAGACTGATGTATGCGCACGCATACGTGAAATTTTTCAAAATGACAATTTTCACGTGTACGAGCGACAACAAGTAACAGTAAATAATATGTTCTAATTATGAACTTCGAATAGAATAATACTTATCTTAATAAGAAAACTGAGAATTCTTGCATCAGACAAATTATGTAATTATTATGGTCACGATTTTAATAGAAATTAATTCGCGATTTTCTCATTATTCACATTACATAATATAGAGCGAAGAAAAATATTGTCATTTTCAATTTCTTCGAGATAAATCTTACTGTTCTCTCCATAAATTTTATATAAATATTATTATATTAAATTTTATTCGTTTGTGACATACAATTTCTCGCGGTTCTTCGGTCGCCCTAAATCCATCATCGGTAACACGCAACGTGGAAATATATAAGTGTAACATGGC